AATGCAATGGATGCCATACTGACGCTCGGGAGTGGGGCTGGATGTTTGCTGAGATCCGTGGTTCTCCCATGTGAGTGTGTGTCAGAATCACTTGGAGGGGCTGTTGAAACACGGATGCGGAGGGCCGACTGTGTGCATTGTTCTATGCCATTCTATATAAGGTGCTTGGGCATCCGTGGAGCATGGTATTCACAGGGGATCCTGGGACCAACCCCCCATGGATGCCAAGGGACGACTGCATCAGCGTGCACAATTCTAACCAGGGATCCCCAGCACTCACGCCTTTAGCCCACTCTTTCGAGGAGACCATAGGTTTTCTCCATGTGAAGTACAAGGCCTGTTTCGTTTGTAACATGTGACATTATCATAGAGAAGATGTGCTGGGAGAACTCCAGAAACACACCACAAGCACAGTTCAGACCTTGATGAAATAATCGGTGAATTCCAGCGGTGAATGCAAATTCTGAGAGCATGCCTTCTTTGATGTCTGTGGCAAAGCACGTGCTGTAATTAAGAAGCTTTAAGTTCATCGATTTGCCGATGCCTCTGCAACACCCTCTTTGGGTTTTTTAAACCATGATAAATGGCCCGGGGCTTTCCAAAGAGGACAGAGTTAAGGATGGTGGTTGTGAGTGTCTTGATTTAAATTGCACGCGTGGAGCATTAAGAAAGACTTAAAGTCATTCATTGTAGCTCTTGTAGACGATACTTTACCAAGGAATAGAGGAATAGTTGACTTCTATAACTGTTTGTCTTCTTAAAAAAAATCAATGACATCTTTCACTGGGGTCATTTTCCTGACACACAGAGTAACCATAGAATTTCTTGAGGCAGTGCCAAGCAAAATTGTGAGGCAAAGTAGGCGAAGCCAGTCTTTGGCTCCACTAAACCTCTGTTCTGTGTTGTGTATTCACCACATGTGTCCCTCTCCCCAGGTCCAGGGGCCCTAATGGCCTCCTTCCTCCCCCTTATCCTATCAACCTACTCTTAGGAAACAGTATTGTCTTTAAACTAAGGTATACGTGATTGTGGATAATTTAAAGGATCGTTCCACTTATCAATTCTTGCATCTAGCAAGGATCAAAGTCTTAAGCTAGAAGAATGAAGCTCCAACAGTGGATTTTAAGCATAAGCTATAAGTAGAAACGACATAAGGGATTAACATCATTTCCATGCAATGGTACAACCATGAGCATATAATGAAGATGACTTTCTGAAGTTATTTCTTATTGAAGTTGCTTTACTGTTTCTATTTAGCTTCCTTCTTCTACTTCCCCTGGATCCGGGCAACCTCAGCCCCACAAGCAGTACTCCTCCTGGCCTTCATTCTATGTGTTTGTAGGAACTTTTGGTTGCAAGTGATAAGAATCCCATTCAAACCACCAAGTGCCAGGGTTGGACTCACTTTATGGGGGAATGTGGCTTAACCATTATTCACACTCTTACACGCAGTTCTTCCTTTCTTCTGTCTGATTCTATTGGCAGCTATTTCATTATCTTCCACTCTCCTGCATATTAAGGGACACGCTTATAATTCTTAATTTGAGGGGAAAAGACCATGCTTCAGCTCTGCCTCAAGTCAAGTGAGAAAAGTCTGGGGAAGTGTGCTGATTGGTCAGTTCGGGTCACTCACCCACTTGGTAGTGGGATCATTATGTCTAGTCAGGTGTGGCCTGGTGATTGTCATTTTCATGGCAGCTCCTTAAGGAAACACATGAAATAGGGAACCGCCTGGCCCTCTGAGCTGTGTCCTCATCTGCACAATGAGGGAAGTGGAGATATCTCTAAAACGCTCCCAACTGTAACCTGATTCTATGTCAAAATCACTTCCTCGTGTTTGGTATTCTAATAGCTGGATCTTTATCTCTCTTCCATGTGCTTGCTCCCACCAGAAGGTCAAGTGACGTAGGAAGATGATAATTATCTCCCTGGCTCAATCCTGAGTTTCTCTGAAGGGGGATGGGGAAGCGCCTGTGGTGTCCCCCACGTGCACCAGCAAAGAATCATAGTTCAACCTTGACCAAATTTAACTGCCACTTATACCACATGATATATGATGGCCATAATTTCAAAATGTGTTAAACACCCCAAAGTTAACATTTTGTCCAAGTAAAAAAAAGAAGCAAATTAGGTGGGAGATCAGCTGGAAATGTTCCTTTACGCTGTTATGCTGGAGGCACAAAACAATAATTATGTAACTGGTTCCAATTGAAAGGCAGCCCGGGTTCAAAGTGGCTAATGTGCAGAAGTGTCCAAATTACTCATCTGTTTCCACATTATTGTGCACCCATTCTTTCTGTAAAACCTATATGATGTCTTCTTCTCTGAAATGTCTCCCCACCTGCCAACAGAGTCCTTCAGTTCGTCTTTCTCACATCCACATTTCTGTTGTGATGATCTTTGTCTGTGTCTAGCTCTCTTATTAGACCATTAGCTCATAGAAAGCAAGGGCCATACCTTATTCATCTTTGAATTCCTAGTGCCTCACCCAGTGTAGGCGCATGGTAAGTATTCCGTAAGGTTTGCTGTGTTGACTTCACAAATAATGCTTCTCAAGCAAATTTGTGTTAGTAGCTTCTATCGTGACAGTCCAATTGATAGTAAGCTAATAACCAGCTGAGTTAGACTGTAGGGAGCAAACCCCACCATGACCCTAGAAACTCCCATGAGTCAGGGATCTGGGGGACAGTTGCTCTTATGCCTTTACGCCACAACTGTCACCAGCAACCACATCTTCACAGGACAGGAGTGGCAGGCAGGCTCTCTGAGAAGAGTGGCATCTCCTGGAGAAAGCAGATCCATGAGTAAACGATACACTCTGTCATCCCTCAAGTTTTCCCCTGTAGTTTCTTAAAATTTCTGCCATTAGTTTCACTTTTTGATATCACCTCCCAGAAAGCCCTACAATAATATAATATGTTATCTTGTAAAGGATAGTCTTACTGTGGACTTGGATTCCTAAAAGTCAGAAGCGTATAAGGAAAAAGGAAGGTGGATATCACTTGAAAATAGGTGGTTTTTTTTCTTCTAGACACCTGTGACTCATCTTACTCTCAGTTCAGCCATTTTCAGTTGACATAGGATTCCTGGGAGCATGGTGGCACTACAAACAATGGGCATGCAGATGACTAAAGAGCGAGGGTACCTGGCATCCCTGAGCTTGGGGACTTGTGGGCTGTGGGTTCCTGTGAGGCCTTATAGGCATCACACAGGCTTTCCTGAAGGCCAGTTTGGTTTCACTGCCAAGGAGAATTCACTGTCTGGTTCTGACCCCCAGTGTCCTCTAACCCCCTGCAGATCATCGGAAAGGTTAGGTAGATGAGAGAGGTGTACACTGGAGAAAGAAACCTGGGCAGATAGCTCAGCACTCTGAGCCGTCAGAGAAGGGCAGCACCGTCCAACACAGCGCTGCAAGTTCAAGGAGCTGTCAAGTGTTTTGAGGACATTTCAGCTGCCTGGTATCTCCCGAGGTGGTGAGCATTTTCCATCACTCAGCAATCAGGCAGATTCGGAAGTCCTGGTTTGCAACAGCCTTTTCCATGCTGTAAAATTGTTACCTCTATTATAGTAACATTTTGTGAAAATGGCATCTTGGTGGGACCAGTGAATGAGCAATTACTGAGTGCCTACCACATGTGAATTATTGAATGAACAACTGATTAGAAGCCATAAGGAGTACGCTGGGATCCCATTCACAGTAACAAAGGTGAAGCAGTACCCCAGGGCTGCTCACATCAAGTACTTGCTGTCTTCACCATACTGGGCTATTGGTATCTTAGACTTCAACTAGATACGTGTGACCTTGGATAAGTCCTCCGTCCTTCTCAGTCTCGGCTCCCTTATCTTTAAAATAGCGGTAGTAACACCACTCTACTATATTGGAAACAGGATTAATGTGGTGATGCACAGTAAAGTGCCCAGACCAGAATCTAGCATATAATTGAGGTGCAGTTGTGATTTTTCTCTTATCTTGAAGTTGCTAAGCCACCCCAAGAATGGTGGCATGAGTGGCAGTATACTGTTTACAGTCCTAGGTTTCAATCCCAGCTCAGCCACCTCAAAACCAGCTGTATGATTTCAAACGATTTCATATTTCTTTTGAAGCCTCAGTTTCTTCATAGGCAAATGGAATGATGATAATATCTATCTTATAGATTTGAGTGGATTAAAAGAAGGAACTTAGAGCAAGCCTTTAGATAGTATCAGGCACATAGTAGGTACCTTATCAACAATAACAGTTGTTCTCATCCAGCAAGTCTCTTGGCTGCCTGTGTGTGTTTTCTGGTCTTTTCCTGCTTTACATATCCCAATGAAGATGCATTCACCTTAATAGGGGCAAAGGTTAATTGCCTTCTTGTGGGCTGGTTCTGTCCTGCGGTAGCACATTACCAGATCCTTCTTTTTTCTTGAGGCTTCCAACAAGATATGTCTATTCTAATTTAATAGACCTCTTTTTTTTCAGTGCCTGGCTCAAGGAGGCAATACCACGTGCACATTTCCAAATGCATCATTTGTATGAACACTCACGGGAAAGCATTTGAGGAGCAGCAGGGGTGGATATCGGTTCATGTTCACTTGAACTGCTGCCAACCAAACTTCCACAGTTAATTGTGTCTCAGCAATTTTCTCCTGGAAAAAATAATTCTTATGCAGACTTCTAGCTGTTGCTTGGACTTCTTTCATTCTTGAGTTTGCATTGTTTACAGTGCTGGTTCAGGAGCCGTCACATAATATATGGAGCCAACGGGACACTCCTCCCATGGCCAGCCTCTCCACCCCAATTCTAAGTTAGTCAGCCCATCTCCTGCCTTGTGGCTCCAACAACGCAAAAGATGTGCGCAATGGTAGCTTACTCTTTGGAAAAGCCCGCTCAAGGTTTGGGCTGTGAGTACAGGCAAAGGGGTTCATGTTCATGGAGACAGGGAGCCGTTAACTTGAGAAGACTTTTCTGAATGGGTAAGGTCAACCCCCGAACATTATGGTCTTCCTTTAACCTACAGGTAATGCAGGTGGTGAAGGAGCAGGTTATGAGAGCTCTTACAACCAAGCCTAGCTCCCTGGACCAGTTCAAGAGCAAACTACAGAACCTGAGCTACACCGAGATATTGAAAATCCGCCAGTCTGAGAGGATGAACCAGGAGGATTTCAAGTCTCGCCCGATTTTGTAAGTTACCCCCGACCTCTGTCTCCTTGAAGGCCCCAGACCCGGCCATTTCTAGAGTGGCAGCCAATCGACCACACAGCCGGGCTGTGTGATGAGCGCTCTACAGAAGGCCAACAAAAGACATTTGTAAGATCTCAGTTCAGTTCAGGAAGTCTCAGCAGGTCCTTGAGGAAACCTGGGCAGAGGTTGGCTGAAGGGGAGGGAGGCACAGGTGCTGGCAGAAGGATCTAAATCAGGAAGTGGCCCGTTTACCGGTGAGCCCTCTAAGGATTTGTAGCTGAAAAGGTGGGGACCTCTTCTAACACCGGGAACACAGTTTTGCCCGTGAAGCCATGTTCTATGTAGGTGCCTTCAAGTGGCCAGATGCTCTGGCCCAACCAGTGTGAGGCCCACTGGTGATGACAACAATGAAACCCTGGAGTGCTGTGCCTGGGAAGCACGCAGAGCTGGCCAAGAGAACAGAGGTCCACTTCCTTCCTGCCCTGTCGGCTCTGCTCTGCATCACAGCAGCTCATATTGCTCTCGTGACTGTCAACCTACCAGCAAGGCAGAGAGGCAGGGGGCCCCTTTTTATAGGACTTTGCATCCAATGCCACAAGCGCCTGTTACGTACTTTCACGTGTCTCCATCAGTAAGATGTTCTCAACCTCAGGCATGAGAGCCGCGTTGTTTGCGTCCTCTTCTTAGAACTGGCCTGTTTATCTTCCCTTGCCCTTTTCCAAGAGCTAGGGCAGTTTTGTTACCCTTATAATTTATAGGGAAGGAAATAGGGAACGCGGTGGAGGGTAAGGAATATATTTGATGTTTATTCTCATTCCACCTTCACTGGACACAATTTCTCCTGAATTTTTGTAACTTCTGAACTTACAACATAGGTGGCATTATGAAGCCATTATTAAATAACTCTCTCTCTCTGTCTCCCTGTGTGTGTGTGTGTGTGTGTGTGTGTGTGTGTGTCTCTGTGTGTGTGTTTCTGATTCTTCTTCTTTATGCCTTTCTTTCTGTTTCATGCTCTTATACATTTGACATTTTTAATGCCTGGCAATTTGCAAAGCATCTTATGCTATTTCATTTACTCACATCCATGTGAGATAAGCAGGCCTTATCTTGAGGACCAGGATACAGCCTAGAGAGGTGAGGATCCTGTTAGCAAGCCAAGGGACCAGGAACTTGAAGTCCAGTCTGCTAATGCCTCAGCTAATGCTCCGCCCACCTCCCTGGAGTTCCTTCACCAAGTGCATGACTAAGATGAGGTTCAAAAAAGGTGCACAGGTCTGAAAAGACAATAGCCAAGCTATAACATCTGCTTTACATTTGTTTTTAAATCTTAAGCACTTTTAGAAACTGCAGAGCGGAGCTGCAGACTTCAGTGGGGATGAAGTTAGCCAGCAGGGGAGGGGCCATGTTTCCTGAGGGTCTTTGGCTTCCTTCACTGTGAAACCGAAGTCACACCCACACGGAGCACCAGCCCGCTCAACATCCCAGCCCCTGAAGCAGGCAGGTGGAGCCAGCCTCCAGCCTCTTCTCCAGCGCTGTTTTGTCTGTTAGAATGAGCTACTAGACAGGAAGGCATTGTGGGGCTGGATGAAGTCTAAACGCTGCCAAAATGGCTCAGAGGGTACATCCAAACCAATGAAGGAAAAGACACAGTTCATGTATGACTGCTTTCACTGGTTCATTCATTTACCACATGTGTATTAAGTAACCTGCCACGCCCTGCCGGAGGTGCTGGGGACAGGCAGAGAACCAGAGGGACTTGGTCCCCACTGTCTCATGCTGTAAACCTGGGGCTGGAGGGGTTAGCAGGTATCTCTCCATGCTTGCCTGGAGGCAGCATAGGTGGGGGGTGTCACAGGAGCACACAGGAGAAGCATGTCAATCAAGCTTGGGAATTAGGACAGATATTAGCATTTCAGAGCTGAAGGCCATCCAGCCCAAGCTTTTCATTTTGTGATGTGGCTGGGGCTTGACTGCTACAGCAGGACCCTTCTGTCCCCCACTCCCCTCCCCTCCCCCCACCACCTGGCCGCCTCTGTGTCTGCCACGCACTGCATGGTGAAAAACTTCAGTGCCATGAAGACTTCATGCATCATGTTTTTATAAAACATTATGTTTCCTGAGAAGAAAAATGCAAAATCCATGTAAGCAAATATTTGGAGGGGAACATATATTCAGTGGGTTGAAGAAACTCTGCTTTGTTTCTTAACTCTTGATTAGTGATTTCAGGGAGGAGGTATTTGTTATTTTCTATTTAGCGTGACTTTATGGGAAAGATAAGTCCGTCTATACAAACTAATCTGAGTTAATGGACATAAAAAGCTCAAATGGCCCAAAAACAGGTCATTGAACACTATGGGGGAGATGGGGGAAGGGGAGATGCAAGGATACACACCAGTGAAGTCGAGTAGCAAAAGTGTGGCAACACAGACCCGGGGAGCTCACAGACCTGGGGTCCCATTCCGAGGCCAACCACTTACAAACGTGGCTCTTTAAGGCAAGTTATGTAACCCACTCTATGCCTCTAAGTGCACGAGAAGCACTTAGCATATGCCTGGCACATAATATCCACTCAAAGAAATGGTCACTCTTATTAGCTGATAACCAGAATTTGACAAGTTGTCACACCGTTAATAGGTAAATGGTAAAAGTCACACGATGAGTGTATTTGTGTACGCCTAACCCTATCTCAGAAAGCACAATAGAAGTGGGGGAGAAAGAAGAAAAAAAAAAATGAAAATACATAGAGCCCGAAATAAGGCTATCCTGCAAACCTGCCTTCTCCCTAAAGGTTGGCCACAAGCTTTGCTCGAGGCGGTCTCATAGCCAAAGCCAGGAGGACAGTCTGGCCAGTTCCACGATTTCCGGTGCTCGGTGCCCTTGACAAATGCTTATCCAGGGCCTGCCACATGCCAGATACTGCTCTATGTATCGGTGCTTCAGCAGTGAAAAGAACAGACATGATTTTCACCCCAAAAGTGATTCCATTTTAGTGGGGGAGAAACAGACGATAAACATGGTAAATAAGATTATAGCACATGTAAAGAGGACGTAGGCAATGGAAATATAAAGCAGGGTGAGGGAAATAGAGAGTTTATAGTTTTAAATGAAGTGGTCAGAGCAGATCTCTATAGTTAGTGTGGTGACATTTGAGTGAAGATGTGGAAGAGACTAAGGGAGTCGGCTATGTGGAAGAAGGCTATGCCAGCAGTGAGAATGAGCAGTGCAAAGGCCCTGAGGTAGGAGCAGGCCTGGATGCTCAATATACGTGGTAAAGCCAGCAAGGTGCCTGGGACCCTGATTATGTGGGGCCTTGTTGGGGAACCACTGAAGTGTTTTGAGCAGAGGACTGACATGTTCTGACTCAAGGTTTTAAATAGCGCTTCTTGCAGCTGTATTGACAATAGACTCCACGGAGGCAAGTTTGGAAGTCATTTCCTCAGTGAGAAAGTTTTTCGAATAACCCAAGCAAGAGGTAGTAATGAGAAGTGATTAGCCTCTTGTATAGATTAGATAAATTTTTAATATAAGAAACAAAGGTATTTCCTTTTGGGTTAGATGTGGGGTATAAGAAAAAGAAAGGAGTCCAGGGTGAGCCCAAGTTCGGGGCCTGATCAACTGAAAGAGAGTGAGTGGAGCATGTTTGGACAAAGAGATCAGGGGTTCAGCTTTGGATATGTCAAGTTTGCAGTGTCTGTGAGACACTCAAGTAGACAGTTGGGCTAATGAGTTGGTTTCGAATTCAGTTGAGTGGTCTAGGTTGGAATAGAAATGTGGAAGTTGTCAATATAAAATTGGTATTTACAGCCATGAGTCTATAATACAAAGAACAGAAGACGTGCAAGGGCTGAGCTTCGAGGCCCTGCAGTGTTGAGACAGGGCAGATCCATTTCCATGAAACAGACGCTGTCACTCAGTCTAAAGTCTCCACAAAGCCCCTTTAATCGGGGGTCGGCAAACTACAGCTCTTTAGCCAAATCTGGCGCACTACCTATTTTAGTTATTGGAACACAGCCACACTCACTTGTTCACATACTGCCAACTGCTTTTGCTCTATCCTGGCAGAGTTGAGTCCAGTAATTGCAATAGGCAGTGGATGACCCACAAAGTCTGAAATACCACCTGACCTTTTACAGAAAAAGTTTGCCACCTCTGTTCTAGATGCACACGGGGGAGCAGCTCAGTAGGGCAGACCTCAGGTCCAGCAAGGAATCTCCCCAGCCTGGTGGTGCTGTCCTCTGTGTAAAGCAGTGGCCTCAAATTGGGCCTGAACTTGAACTTGTCTTCCGGAAACAGTACTAGACATTATTAAATTGCTCTGATACACTCATTTGCTTCCCCTCTTTTAATCATTCTCCTTTTATGTATTTGCAAGGCCTTTAGATAGAATTAGATGAGTTTTCATCCAAACAAAGCCAGGGAACCCGTGACCTTGGCCTCATTGACCCCAAGCTGAGAATTTCAAAACCCAGTTCCAGCCCAGGGTGTTATTATCTGGATTTCCCTGAGATCAAATTTCATCCACAGAAGCACCATGTAGGGATTACATGTGTTTTCCTAATAAGAATAAGTTGTATAGCTACTGAGTTCATTTGCAGGAAAGGAAAATAAAATCACTTACAAAAAAGAAAGGCTACCTCGTTTTCCTTATTGCTCAATCATGTTTTGAAGTCCTTTGGGGTTTCTAACCAAATAAAAGTCACTCTTCAGCAGCAGGTTCCCTTATGCTGATAGTCTGTTCCCAGAAGATGGTTCCATGTTGGAGAGCGTCATGGATCTTACAATAAAAAGTCATCATGAATTACACTTACACGGAAGTCCTTTCAGCTACTTCCTCCTTTTCGTCCTCCTCTCTGCATCTTCATCTCCATTTTAAGAACTCACCTCTAGCTTAATAAAACGATTATTTAAAGCTACATCTATAACCTAAGAATTGATGATATTCCCCAACTCCTTTTCCTGTGATTTTGTCCGTCCTCGATGCCATCTCTTCCTGTCCGCCCTTGACCCCTAACTGAGAAATCAGGAGCAATGATTGATTGTCCTGGATGACTGCCTGGGCAATTCTCCACCTTCTCCATTCAGAGCAGAGTTCATCAAAGCTGCAATTTATGAGGCTATTTCACAAAAGCTGAACACTGATAATAAATAGTTCTAGTGATCTGAAAGCCTGAGATGAGCCCGTGGGAGTCCTGCACAGGAAAAGCTTTCCCAGTGTACCAAGCTGCCTGATTAGGGCTAACGCGCCATCTCATGCTTTAGAATCTGTTCAGTTAGAACACCATCAAATGACAGAGGGTTTGAGTCCATTCAAGCCTAAAATATGCATTAAGGGAGTACTAGAATACGCTGTTACATGGCCAGATCCTGTTCTGTAACTTTTTTATTCTTTTTTTCTCACATATAAATAGAAGCAGTTTGCACGAGGAAGACTTAGTCTGTTCCCCTATTCTATGCTTAACCCCTGTGAGCTGTTTCCCCATCTATAAGATGGAAATGATGGCACTAATACCTATTCCCAAAGTTGGGTTTTGTGGAGGTGGGGAATGGGGAGGGAATGTTAAGTGAGCGTAACATGCATAACCCACAACCTGGCTCTTAGACACTTACATCGGTGTCTTCCCAACATGGGAACAGAGCACGATGTGAAGACAGATCGCCTGCAATCCAGAGTGAGTCCAGAGGAACAGCTACGTGAGCCTTGACGGCCATGTGCCCTGGGCCTATGGAGTGTTTGCAGAATATTATCAAAGCAAACTCAGCACCACCTTGCACTCCTGCCCAATGCTTGGAGCACACTCGCACCCACCCTGTCTCCTCTGGGAGTCACAAGTTTCCCAGGAAAGATGCTCACCCCCGTTTTACAGATCAGGAAACAGACTTAGATGGCCTACACAAAATGCTCTCCAGGAGCAGAACCTACATTGAAACCCTAGTCTCCTGAGCTCTAGATCTACATTCTAATCAATACGTGCAGCCCTGCTCTGAGGACGGGGCTCCCTGTCCAGCTTGGTCTGGAACAACTCTAGCTTTACTAGACGCAAAGGCAAGGGCGCTACATCCAATCTCACTTGATAAAAAAAAAAAAAATCTCTGCTCTTAAAAAAAATGATTTAAAAACCATTGCACTCTATCATGATATGTTTACAGCACAGTGGATCTAAAACGTAATTGCATGATGTTAGCCTGAGACAAGCTGCAAATAATCCTTAATTTATCTCACCATTATCCCCATCTCTGTTGGCCAGAATCTGAGACAATGTGTAGATCCCATTTGTAAGTGACAGCATCGTCCTGTGGTTTGCCCAGGATACAGTGTTTCTAGCGGATAGTAATCGTGCAATTGACCAATATCCCCATTTGATGAGAACACAAATGTCATCTCGGAGTTTCCCTGCTGTAGGGGGAGAGATGTGAGCAGAGGTTTGTTGTCACAGCAGAGCTGAGTACATTTTTGCATAAGTTTATATCTGCGGCTTTCTAAAACCAGACAAGAAATCTCTCAGGACTTTTTGGTCTAGAAAAACATCCCTGAAGCAGCTAGTGCTTTTGTGGGTCTTCTGTAAATGTCAGCGAATCTACAGTGTTATTGTAACAGATAAGCCTGTCCCCTGATGCTTAATAAGTGACTCTCTAAAGCACCAGCTGGGGAGGTACTGGGATGGTCATGAAAAGATGCAGCTAGCCCTTTCCTACCCATCTGCCATGACACCCTTTCAGCCAAGCACCGTTCCCAAGGCCTGAAGTGAAAATGTGTTTGTCCTTTTCACAGAGAACTAAAGGAGAAGATTCAGCCAGAAATCTTAGAGCTGATCAAACAGCAACGTCTGAACCGCCTCGTGGAAGGGACCTGCTTTAGGAAACTCAACAGCCGGCGGAGGCAAGGTATTATGCTTGGGGCCACTCCACACCCAGCTAGGGTGAGCAGCAGCCTGTTCCATGGGGAATCAATCACACAGGTGTTGGTTTTAGGGTAGGCCACTCAATGCTGTATGCAGGACAGAAATAGCAGTCCAGGTAAGTCATGGTTCTCCATGCGTACTCAAAGAGCGCCAAAGCCCAGAAACGCCAGAAGACCCATGGAACTAAAGAGCCATGCTGGGCCATGTAGCGCCATGAGTTTGCTAGTAATGGTTCAACAAACAGCTAACGTGTATTGAGAGCTTGCCAAGTGCCAGACTGTCATTTAACTTATATGAATGCATTTCATCCTCACAACAGCCCCATAAAGGTACGACTGGGATTACACCCAGTTTACAGATAAGGAAACCAAGGCACTGAGGTGTGAGGTAACTTCCCCAAAGTCACAGAAGAGTAAGGGTTCTCCAGCAGCAATATGGCCACTGTCTGTGACTCACTGTGCTATCAGGTGAGCCTGACACCCACTGGTGGATTTGATCTTGGAACTTTCAACATAGGTGGCCCGTTTTCTCAAACCCCCAGACTGATTCTCTTCCAGGTCAGGACTATTTTCTTTGGGGCTATAAGTATCACTGAACCAAGGTGGGATAGAATCCATTTTCATAATCTTGCAAGACAAATTTCTGAATTGGCTCTATACATTCTAATCCCAAAATATCAAGTCAAAATGGGTGCCATTAGACTAGCTCCAGAAGATGGAAAGCATTTCCCGTTGTTTCTTAGCCAGGCAAGTAAAGGCCTTTGATTGCTTTCTTGCTCTCTTGACATGCTGCTGATTGAAGTGTCCATGTACTCCTATCATACTGTGCTGGAAACAGTCAGAAAATAGGTTTGGTGGGAGGTGAAGAGATGGTGGAACAGCCAGGGACAAGCCTAAGTGTTAGCACCTGTACCAAGAACGAACCTCAGCTGTGGCCCCGGAGAAATTGTGGCACAGCGGTTCTCAACCTTCCTCATGCCACGACCCCTTAATACAGTTCCTCATGTTGTGGTGACCCCCAACCATAAAATTATTTTTGTTGCTACTCTATAACTGTAATTTTGCTACTGTTATGAATCGTCATGTAAATATCTTTTTGTTTTCCGATGGTCTTAGGCGACCCCTGTGAAAGGGTCGTTCGACCCCCAAAGGGGTCGCGACCCACAGGTTGAGAACCGCTGCTCTGGCAGGTAAAGCCGGTGGCTGACCTGCTCCGACACAGTGCTCACCCACTGATGACAAACACTGTGTCATGTTTATGCTGCACACACACCCCAGGCCATTTACTGTAACTGCTTTGTGCTGAATATTGAGGACATTCAAAGTATTTCAGATGTTACCATTAAAAATCATATTACGGAATGTCCAGAGGCAGAATGTCCTTGAGGAATGAAAATGCAGGTTGTTCCCAGAGGATGGGAAGCCATGAAAACGAACTTCAAGCAGGGGCCTCAGGAGAGGACAGCGGCAGAATAAGAAAGGGCTGAGTTACATGTGGGACTGAGAAGGGCCGGCCTTAGGAGGAGCAGTGACGAGGGAACTGCGGTCCCCAAGCAGCCACTGAAGGACAAGTTCACCCCCGCCCCCTCTGCATTCCGTGGACACCTTTGCCGGAGTCCACGCTGTTCCAAGAGACCAAGGCGGGCACAGTGGCGAGGACAGATAAAGTGGGTGCAACCCAGCCCCTCCCCTCTCCAGTCTTGCCCTTGGGCAGTTCCACATTTGAAATGGGAATAATGATGTCTGTGTCCTGGAGTCACTGTGAGGCGGAAAGGCTATTGTGAATGTCCCGCTTAGAAGGTGACAACAGAGGGTCGCATCTGTCATTGTGGAAGGTCGCTTGGGAAAAGAGAGATGAGCAGGCAGTGAGCAGACTTGGTTCTAGGCTCCTCAGCTCTGTAACTGACCACTTGGGTGTCTCTAGGCAGGACACGTGACCTCCCCGGGCCGCGGTTTTCCACCTGTTAAGGGGGAGACTAGGGCGAGACGATCTGTTAGCCCAATTAGCCAGATGTCAATTGCATGATCTTTTCATTACCTCTGGAAAATCAATATTCAGGATATGTTGCCCCTACAAGGTGGTTAATACAGTTTTTATTTACTTGACATTGGGCAAGGGACACAGAAGTGGCGGGGGAGGGGAAAGGCAGCAAACACACATACCACCACCACCAAATGCCTCCACAATGCCCAGCTGGAATCCTTGGAACCTAATTCAAAGAACTCGACTGAACCCTCTCATCTACTTCGTATGTGACTTCCCTTTCTAGGCTGAAATGCGTTGGTTCTACTGGAATAATCCTGTTTCTAGATGTAATAATTGATTTTGGTAGGGTTTTTTTTTTTTTTTTGCTAAACAAATGGTAGTTCCTTATCTGCAGCTCTTTTCAATTTTCTAAAAATGAATTACCTCATGACCACAAAAATATCAGCAGCCAGATTATAAATTTATTAGTAAGCTCCCTAGGGAGCACAGCCATCTGTGTTTCATATAAAATCTTCTTTCCGAGTGCAGAAAGGAAGGCTTTGGGGTGTTTAGTAAATGGATTTAAAATCTAGTGACTAGCTCTGTGGGCTTAAAAATAGGGATTCCAGACAGACTGTGCTGGAGTTGGTTTCCTATCACCCCATCGAAACATTTCATTCAGATTTACCCAGATTAATGAGGACGTGACATAAAGTCACTGTAATCCCTTCGAGAAAAGTGCGTTTTCATGGGAGATCTGAGACAGGAACAGCCAGCCGCCATCACAGGTTAGAGAGCAGGCACACCCACGAAGGAACCCTGGCCACACGCTCTTTAAACTTCTCCAGCAGTGAGTCAGACACCAAGAGTGGATTTACATATTAACGTTACAGGAGAAAATACGGAAGAGCTGCCCGCCCGCCCCACACAGCTGGAAAGTGGAGGACCCGCCTTTATGCTGCGTTTGCCTAGAGGGCCTCTGTGCTGATGGTACTTGTCCATCATTTTACCCTCCTCACCGGCAACTCTGCCACTTGGATAGTGTGATGTAGACGTTTACAAACCTTGGTTTCTGGGGATTCCAACCACATTAAAACTGGGAGGCAGTAAGCCATGTGAGACACATCAAGCTGCATTCAAGTCCTTGGATGTCCACTCGCTAGCTGGGCAGCCTCGGACAACCTACTAGAGCTCTCTGTGCTGTTTCATCATCTGTCAATGGGGATGAGGTCGGTTCCTATATCAAGAAGTTGTAAGGCATCTATAGCACTTAATAGGGTGCTCAGCACACCGACACTTAGGGATGATAATTAGCATTCATTTTAGCTTGGAGTTCCTCACAATATAGGTTTTCAAACTCAGGCGGTAGATTGGCAGTGGGTGCCACACACCTGCTTCACTCCATCCCGCAGCCCCCTGGAGGAGGTAAGGCTCTCGTTCACAGTCCTTCACAATGAGATCGCCGTGCTCCTGTCTTCCCTGGGTTTCTGGAAGAGGGAGTTAAGAGGCAACCCCAGAAGATGTCCACGTTAGGGCCAGTCTTTGCTTTATGAGAATCTGCGAACTTAGGAAGTACCCCCTATTCTCCCTGTATTTCAGAGATTAGGGTCTTTCCGAATTATTTGCATTGATAGCCCTGATCAGAGCCCAGGGCTACACGTGGGAGTGTCATTTCCAGACATGATAGCATGAAACTTCTACTTCGCGTTGAAAACATTGTCCAATTTGTTGAGTGCATCCATTCCCTAAGGGCTAATGGGACAAACTTAATTTGGAACTCAATAGTGAGCCAGACGCGTCCCCCATGGAATTGTCACGCTCCCACGCTGCGGCCCAGGGTGATATAATTTGCCTTGGTATTTTAGCTCACTCAGAAAACCTGTAGCCAAATGGTGTGGTCAGGCAAAGTAACCACAGCGCCCTCTGGAGGAGCAGGATGTTTCTTCCTCTATCCTTGATCAAATTTTTTTTTAATATTTAATTAAACCTTATCATAATTCATTTTTACAAAATGGAAGGTATAAATAAATGCATATTTTCAAAGGAAAAAAAAGACAGTTTATTTTCATGAATAAAGGCACTTTCCCATAGATCATTGTTCTCAAAGATAAAGGGACCAGTAGTGTGGACAAGAGGGGTTACCATTGACGGGAACAACAGGAAGACGCTAATATTTGGGAGCCAGCTCTGTGAATGGTGCATGATAGATACTTGATGTGTGTTTTACTCATATGATTATTAGCATGACTTAAGAAATGAAGAATAGAGATCCCTAAGGTTTTTATAACTTGGCCAAGACGCTGATGTGTTAGGAACAAGTGTGTCACCCAGGTCTATGCGGCTTCAAAGCATTGGTCAGGCCAAACCATATCTAAAAGGATTTGAGGGTCTGGATTCATCTTCTGCTGTGAAAGGAGAAAGCAGTCTCCAGGGAGGCAGAAATCTGAATCAAAACACAAGACTCTCATTCTGAAGAGCAACCAGGGGAGCTGAGGAAAATTTAAAAGGCAGAATGACTTTTCTGCAGTCTGTCCCTATAGTTGGTGTCTTCCTTTACTGGACCGCCAGAGAAATCATGTATCTCATCACCCGAAAGATGACATTTCCCTTTGAAAATATTGCTGGGGTCCCTCGTGTTTTGTGACTTGGAAAAGTTCGACCCTAGGCATGAAACAGACCTGAGCACACTGAAGATTTTCCATTTTTTAGGCTAACCTGCAAACAATCTGAAATCCTAGTAGAAATGCTCTAAGAATTTACGTTAGTAAAGGCTGCCTACCTCCCAAACACAGGGCTTTCCGGGCCCCCTGGGCCAGCATCCAGCTGCCATCTGTGGGCTGTGTACCCAAGACAAAGGGGCAGAGTTGATCAGGACTCGGTTCTTGCTGTGCCCTGGGCTTTACTGAACTGAGCAGCATTTCACACTCACAATCGTAGCTGCTATTCAGCTTGTCTGCCTCCCCTATCTACCTTCTGGTCAGCCCCAAACTTATCTCCAGCCTGAACGATGAAGACAGACAGTGAGCTACACTGTTTAATATAGCTACTTATTGCTGTTTAAATTCATTAAAATTAAATACAATTTAAGATTTTGCTTCATATATTGGATAAAGCAGACACAGTGGTTCCATCATTGCATAAAGTTCTATTAAACATTGCTGCAAGAATTACAGTTGTCAGTGGTTATTAGCTCCATAATGATCTATGTGGCATTGGGAATAGATTTAATCAGCCCTGGAGACCTTCTCACCAGGCTTGTGCATTTTGAAACCAGCTATTTCCTATGATCTTTCACACATACAGAGAGAGAGACAGAGAGACAGACTGAGAGGCAGAGAGAGAGACAGAGAGAGAAGCACAAAATTGCCTCCATATTTTCAGGTTTTGAGTTTGGGGAATGAAAAGATGGCTATTAACGTACTAACATTCATAATTGACTGAAAGACCTCCCTATTAACTTCTGTTTTCTCTTTAAACGCTAGTAAACAATCTTGGATAATGTTCTCACTGCTTCTTGCTAATTGCTTTTAGTGACACAATCCACTCATTCATTGCCCAGAGGGACTGAGAAACTAGTAACATCATGCTGGGTTTTGAAAAGAAAATACACGGTTTTTTTACCGTAAAAGAAACTGCAAATCAAGCTGCCACTGGCAGCTGATGCTGAAACCGTCCCACCCACAAGTCAGGGCATTGTGCTGGTTGGAGCTGGCGGCTCTGCTTTTCTTTACAGCAGCTCTTCTTTCAAGGTGGACATAACCAAGTTAGGATGCCTTTAAACCTTCCCGGAGCTAGGGACTCCAGCCTCTATCCTGCAGAAGATACAGGCTGAGTATCCAGCATTTGGTCTTCATGAGTCAAAACAATCTTCCCGAGCCTTTCAGCCCCATTTCTAATATTTAGTCATCCATCCAACACTTCCTCTGCGATGGGGAGGAGCGGAACACATCACTTACATCAGTGATGCACAGACCGTTTTGCTTGCTACCATTTTAGTAGTAGATGGAGAAAGAGGAACTTATGTAGAATAAGAGTTAGGCAGAGGTAGGAGGAAGCCCAGAGGAGGGTGGTGTCGTAGAAGCCAGGAGAACATAAGTCTCCGGCAGGAGGGCATTCTGCCAGCTGTACCATACAGTGTTATGGCGGGGCTCCAGCTAGACTTTTGTGTTTCTTTTAAACAAACGCCGATGGCAGCTTTGCAAGAAAAAAATGGCTGTTTTGCCTCCTGGGACCTAAAATATAGCCACTGTTCTGTAATTCTGAATATAAGAATATATGGCGCCAAGACCTCCTCTAACCCTGCTCTTCCGCAGAGCCGAGGCAGTGTGTCAGAATCCCTGTCCCTGGTTAGACCTGGGAAACAAGGCTTCCGCCATCTTTTTCATGATTGCCATCCGGACCTGAGGGAGCTCCTTCTGGAGCTCCCTGGCTTTGTCTCTCACACCTGCCTCTCGTCCTAGTGATGTTTTGCGACACCCAGTAGAGTGCTATGTGCGTTGTTATCACTGCAAATATTCACTGGATAAATAAACTTACCTACCTTGAAAATTTATGCAGCAAAGCTTTTTGAAGTCTTACAAATAAATATAAGCTGTGCATTTTTCGCCACACTATACCTGTTTGTACCACTTAAATGTCTTAGGGCTTCCCCAAATATATTGAGAATGATTGGTCTTCTTTGATTGTGCCATACTGACCCTTGGGCTCCTGGTTACCACCACTAACCCCTAGAAGCATCCGCCAGCTTGAGAAGCAAGGAATTCCTAGAAAGAACAGGCTAAGACCATACTGATAATAAGGTGCACGTGTGTAAGCATCACAGCTCTCTCACATCCCTCCCGCTTTGTGTCATCCTTCTTTTGTCAGCTTTGTGTCATTCTTCTTTGTGTCAGCTGCTCATTTAGCCAAAAATCCCACCTCAGAGGTTGCAGGGGAAGGAAAGCTTTATAGCAAATTTCTCCAGCTGCGCTTCTGGTCATCACAGGCCATTTAGACAAGGTGAAAAGTCCTTCCGGGCAGAAGAAACCTCTATAGCCTGTTATGCCAGGTCCAAAGAGCACCAGTGGCACTCACAGCCCAAGTATGGGCTGTTCCTTTGGAGTTCACAGTCCCTATTGTGAATTACAAGTCCAATTCCCAAATGTGTTCTCTTTATGGAAAACTGATTATTACACATTTGCCTAATTGAAATGGCTGTGAATTTTTCAGGAAGTAACCTTATTTTCTCTCTTTGAAATGCTCTCCCAGAAAATTGACTCATGTTGGCTATATATAACATACTTTTGAAAATTGAGCAATTCCAGATGTTTTCCTAGCCATCAAATAACTTTTTCTTTCCTCTTTTTTTTTTCTTTAAAGTTTTCTACCAGAGTTCAGATTATTTTAAATATATGATGGCCATATGCTGACTGCATTTGGGAATTTGCAAACCCTATTTAGAGATGAGGAAGATAGGAATCACAGAGGCATTTTGCTTTTGTGACTCAAGCTTGGGTGTTTTCTTTGTTCATTGTGTGGCTTTTACTTCCATTTTTAAAAACTTTCTTTGCTAGTAAAAGAATTATAGTTAAAACATGGTTTTGCCAGGAATGCAATTTTAGATAGAGAAACATTTTTCTTGAAATGTTCTGGAGAATTTTTTTTAGCCCGAGTGGTTTCAAAACAATGTGTGTTTGTAGACCCAGTAATGAGGTGACTTGACCAAGGCCATTACACCTGTCAACTGCATAATTGCGTAAAGGGGTTACATGTCACATGTCATAGACGTTTTGCGCCTTAGGCGTCTTGACCAAGCCCCCTTGGATTTTCATTTACCCATTTATCCAACACCAACTGTGTAACTTCTAGGGGCCAGGCATTGTGCCAAGGAACTGGGGCAGTGCTATTATGAAGATAGCGGCTGTCGCCAGACAACCCTGGCTTCTCCACACTGTCAGGGCTGAGGAGTACCCTGGAATCTTCTTCCATCAGTAATCATTCACAGTGCTCCCGTTAGGGCAAGTTGCTTACCAAGGGCATGTGACAGATAATAGGGAATACTAAGCTGCTTAGCATGTGAGCACCAGTAATCAAAGACAATGCTGGAGCAGCTAAGACCATGGGCAGAGGCCATTTTGCTGAGGTAATCAAAGAGGGCTTCCCGGAGGAGGCCACATCTAAGTACAGCCTTGAGAACTACACAAAGATTGCCATCATAATTTAAGCCCCTTATCTATAAAAAGCACTCGTTGCCTCCTTCTCCCGACTTCACGTATTCAGAAAATGTTATGATGTTTGGGGAGGCAGAGGAGTTCAAGTTGAGGGAGTTATTTATAACCATGACCGTAACACCCTTGGTCATGCCTATGGGAAGACCCAAACTCTAGGAGTTACAGAGGAAATGATTGTGAATGTCCTCATTCTTTGAATAAATCCCTGCAGTATTTAGATTACTTCCTCCTGAATTCCAACCCTTGTGGGTGTCACTAGCATCCGATCATTCATCCATTGATTAATTTGTGTGTGTTAGGCTCAGGGGTGGGAGGTTTGGTGTGCCAACTAAGAGGTGTCACACAATTATCTCAGCAGTCTTAAAATCTCAGAGAGAAGAGGAAGCAGAAAGCTTCCAAGAAAGCTGTGTTTTCTCCACCTCCCTCCCCGCTATTGTCAGGCTGAGGTGCGTAAGGAATAATTCCCATGGTCGCTATAGAAACTGATAAAATTACCCTCAGGAAATCACCACCTCAGAAAACCTGTTACCACTGTACTTGAAGGATTTGCTCTCTTTCCCAGTGGTTCTCACATGTACAGTAAGCAGGATGCTAACTACCAGAATCAAAAGGGGACTTACTGCTCAGGGCTCTAGAATCTATTCGTTTCTGAAGACTTAAAATCAGATAAACTGCTTTCTCTTCCAGGCACTACTACTAGGAAATAAGGATGTCAATATTTTTGGAAACCAGAACCACTTACATTGTCAATCTGTGTTTTTTTTTTTCCTCAGACAAGTTTTGGTATTGTCGGCTTTCACCGAACCACAAGGTCCTGCATTACGGAGACTTGGAAGAGAGTCCTCAGGGAGAAGTGCCCCATGACTCCCTGCAGGACAAACGTAAGTGGCTCTCCTGTGTAGGCGGCCTGAGTTTGGGTTGGTTGTTTGTTTCCTGGTCACGAAATATCCTGCAGAAAAACTCTCAACCTAAATAAACCCTTGGACATGTCTCATCTTGTAAGTCCTGGCCTGAGCATTCTCACCAAGCACAAGACCTGAATGGATTTAGGGTTCAGGATGAATAGGGGAGGGCATAAAAAGAATGCCTGCATATCTTTCCTGAAAGATGTAAACTTGGGGTGCAAACGTCTGCTTTTTTATTACTTCCCCAGGTGCTATTTCAAGGAGTAAAAACAATATAAACCTGATTCCCTCAATTGCCTTTTTCTGATGACCCAAAATAACTTCTCGTGAATTGTGTGCTTGGTCCCTCCCACATTTCTTCTTTAAGTTTAGGGTACCCCATAATTATAATGCAGAGCTAATGACACACCCAAAAATGGCTTACTTACTTCAAAGACATAACTCAGACACTTAGGAAATTTATGATAAATTACATTTTCTTGTTTTCTAAATTCCATGACTACATAGTATTTATATTTATTTGCTATTTCTGTATGATGCCTGTTTTAATATGTACATTTTGAAGAGCTGGGAATATTCTAAATTCTTTTTGCCCAACACCAAACCCGGTTCCAGGTTTTTTAGATGGTATTCCATATACAAATTGAACAAAGTATTACAGAAATATAAAAATATACAAGGTCGATGAATTAGCTTGGAAGAGAAATGAGGTGAAGGGGACATAGCCTCAGAGGATACCCCATGTAGAGAAATGAAAGCGTGAGGAAACAAATAGAGAGACTTTTAAATAACCTTAAAAAGTCAACTGACCCTGCAGTGAGTCATATAATTGTGTCCCAGGTAGAATGCTCACCCCCACGTCCTAGCACCACCCCTCTTGTCACCTCCTGGGCCCATGGAAGTCAGATCTGGTTGCCTTCCTTGAAGCTCATGGCCATCAAAGGCAAAAATAAACCACGAGTGGAAAATTCCTGACACACTCAGACTCGGTGCTGACATATCAGGCAGACAACCTGGAACGTTCTGTCTCCCTCCAGCTTACAAACGGGACAGTCTGGGCTTTGACTGTCGTTTACTTCAGAAAGCAATCTCGTTTCCTTTTGTAGGAGCACTGCGTCCCTAGCACTTCTTAGTGGTATTGTTAGTGGGAAGAGAAAGACGTCTGAAACCCACTGCAGCAGAGTCTGGGGCGGGGTCTACCCATCCCTGCCGTGGAGGCATCCCGGCTCTGCCTGTAATGAGGACCCTCCCTTTAGGTCTCAGGAAGCATCCCCATCCCGCCGTGGACAAGCTGGACCAATGGTCCCCGGACATGGGCCTCAGACCATCAGCAGCAGCGTCACCTGGGCACTTACTAGACATGCAGATTCTCAGGCCCCACTCCCAGACCTGCTGAGTCAGAAACTCTGGGGTTGGGAACCAGCAATCTCTGTCTTCACACACCCTGCAGACAAGTCTGATGCACACTCAAAGTGAGAGCTGCTGACCACACATGGCCCTCTCCTCTTCAGAGCGATGCCCAAATTCAGCTTGCATTGCTAAGTACAAATTTAAAGAAACAAGAAAAGCGAATTTATAGTAGGTTGCCAACTTTTAATTTTTGTAAGGGAGGCTATTGAAAAATAAAATATAACTAAAAATTAATATCGCAATCTGTTCACTTGAAAAAGGGGCTTTTGATCCCCCCAAAACAGTAGTGGACAGCCCCTTCTACTAAATGAAATTAGCTTTGTGAGAAGCACACGCCAGTGTTTTCATGTTCCTCTGCTTTCTAACTGGTGAACATTCTCTCATGAACTAGGTACTGACCAGGGACAGCGAGTTGGAACCACTGGTGGTAAAATGAAGAGTCAGAGGTTGCTGTTGACCAAAGCAACCAGAAACTCTATACGAAGTCTCCCCTGGTCTCGTGTTAACCTGACCAAGATATAAAGAAAGTGGTACAGGCAGGAAAAACAAAAAAACCGGCTTGATGCATTCTTTCCCCGCGCGGTCCAGTGTATGGGCTCTCCCACTCACTGGACATTTTATTTCTTTATTTCTACATTTATATATATTTATTTCTACATTTATATATTATACATTTATATTATATAGGGATATAATCCACTTCTCAGCCCACGGATAGGCACCCGATGGGCAGTGATGGCAGGTGTTATATGCAGCACTCCCGTTCTAGCTGGTCCTGTTGCTGAGGACATCGGTAGCCCTGCTCCTAGAGAAGGTCAAGGTGTGGACATCACCTGAGCTTCATGCTGGGGTGCTTCCTGGCCTGGCCTGCAAGCGGATGTCCCCAGCTCTACCGAGGCCTGCACCCCCAAGAACCCAGGGTGAAAGTAACTAGCTGGGAATGAGGGGTGCCGAGGCCAGCGAGAGCAACTTGCCAGGGTGGTGGCGGAAGAGCAAGGCCAGGGCTGCAAATGTCTGACAGCTTGTGGTGGTGGCCGCCGAGGCATGCTGGTTCTTGGAAGGACTTTCGCAGTCCCTCTGACAATGGTCCCAAAAGTCTTGTCCACCCCTTTCTTCTGCAGCCTTGCAATCCAGGCATTCCCACGTTGAAAGAGCTGCTTCATAACAGTATCCATCAACATATAAACCAAGAATCCACACCTGTGCAGGTGTGTGTGTGTGTGTGTTGGCAACATCACATCTGTATGCACACATGTGCAGGGGAGAGCATGTCTTTTCCTGTAATGCAGTAAGATGAAGCTATTATGTGCCTGAGCTGAGAAGGCCCAGGCCTAGGAAACTCAGTTTGCTGCTTAAATGCTACCTGGTTTGCATTCAATTCCAATGACATATCCGCCCAGAGCAAAACAGCCCATTCTCCTAGAGCCCTTAGAAGTCAGAGACTTCATTTCACCAGAAAAATGAGTAGTCCCGTTAATTAATGTCAAGTACCATTGCTCTTCCCGTGTTCGATTGCCCTCTCTTGAGACCCAGGGGGGAATTGTCTCCTGCCCCTTAAGTTAATCAGTGCTGAATATTGAGATATTGATGAATCAAATAGCGTAATTGAATCCTCTTCATACAGAGTGCGAATGAAGATTGAGGGCTTTTCCTTAGCTGTCCTCGTCCCCAAAGGTTTAGGAAATTGCTCTTCTCATATTTCTTTTGTCTGACAGGAAATAGGGCCCTTCAAATCTGTATCTCCTTACATCCCTTCTTGCTGCATCTCCGTCCCTCGCACCAGGTTGACAGGCTCTCGTTGTCCCCACTAACCACTAGACTCTGTTGCTTTCTAGCCATGCCCGGGCCCTACAGTGCCGCCCGTTGAAAGGATCTATGCCAGCATTTTACACTCCCACATCAAAGAGGCTGAGAGGAGCGGGCCCACCCCCTCACACAAGGCAGTTAGGCCTGTTACACAGTCCATGAGAGGAGCTGAGGCAGCAAAGCAAAGTGGGCAATTTGGGCCACTGATGAATGGTGAATAAATCAGGTCTCTCAGTCGACAGAGATAATTATCTTTGGTTATTGTTAATGAGAACAATTGCAGATAACATTTATTGAGTGCTTACTGTATGCCAGGCACAGTGCTAAGAACTTGACATAAACCATCCTCTTCACAACCTGAAGAGGTATCGTTGCCCTTATCATTTTACAGATAAGGAAACCGAGGCACAGAGAAATTAAGTAACTTGTTCAAGGTCACGTGGCTCGGCAACAGTAGAGCAAAGATCTGAATGTAACCAGCCAACTCCCTGGCCCAGATTTTTACCCGTGGCTCCGTACTGCCTAGATCAAAAGCCAACAATGATCTTGGCTCCAGCATCAGAAATTGCAAGTAATCCTTGGAGCAACCCTCTGAGATAGGTGATGTTACAGTTCCACATTGCAGGCGGGGAAGCTTAGACTCCCAGAACATGAGCCCAAGTGGTAAAGCTAGTGGGTGGGTCTAGAATTCAAACCCAAGCTCTGTGATTCCAAAGGCACAGCCCGTCCCACCACTGTGCTGCCAAATTAGAGACCAGATTCTTCATTGAACTGAACTGGCATCAGCCGGTCCTTCCTCTGGGTCTCCATCCACAGGAGCTTCTACGGCGCTGTATACACAGCAAGTGCCCATAGCTTACTAGCTACTTCCTGGGGTGATTTCTGCCTCAACTTAGCTCTCAGTGGTGAAAGCTAAAACCATTTTCATCATGGTGGCCATATCTACTTTTTTAATGATATTTTTGTTTTAAATCACAATTAAAGTTCCTTCTACTCTTTGATATTAGCCATCAAAGAGTTTCCCAAACATATCTGAAGTGATAACCATACCTGGGGCTGTGTTCAGCATGATTTGGGGGTACGGACACCTTCACGCATAGGGAGAATGACCTACCAAGGAAGCACAGAGTAGAAGAAAGAGCAGTCGTCCCAGCTCTGTATCCCAATAGCTGTGTGACATTGCCTAATTTATTTATTTATTTTATTTTTTATTTTTTATTTTTTTTGGCTGGGCCATCCTGCCACCTGTTGGCAGCTCAGCAGCAGCTCAGCTCTGGCCGGGCATCGAACCACTGTTGCTCAGCGAGCTCTTCACCAACTGAGTCACTCTGCCAGCCCTGACATTGCATAATTTATTCCGATCTATAAAATGGGAGTCTTGAATTAGATGGTCTCCATCCAGCTCAAACTGAAGAAAAAAAGCATAGAAAGAAATGCGGCCATTTCCCAAGGATTTACAGTTGAGGGTAGGGTGCCAGTAGTGACCCTCCTGCTCTCATATCTCTGGGCCCCACTTTTTTATTCTGCTCCCACACGGAAAGACCTAATGGAAACACTAGCCTGGCTTGAAGTAATCAAGTGCCGTTTTCTTCCCCCTGAGAGTACAGATTCAGGAGACGTGAGTCTGATTGTGCTGGGAACAGAAAGGGTGGCATCCTAGCCCTTCTGATGCCTAATCTTCTCGTGCACTAAGAGGAAAACTATGCAAAGAACAACCTTTAAAAGCCACGCTATATTTTTAGAATTTTGTGTTTTCCTTTTTGCTATAATCCTGTGAGTAATATAGCAGCTTGTCTCCTTGACAGGGGACAATGCATATAAAAAAAAACATTAAATCTGCACTGTTGTAAACATGGTGGAAAAGCCTTTTCTCCCCTGAAGCCTTCTCATTAGAGATTCTGAAGGCTACTGCACAATAGGCTTGTGTTACTCATGTCCTGTTCCTTATGATGAGTTTTCAAAGCAAAGGGGAGGGTAACTTACTATTTATAGGTTGTAGACACTCTCTAGTTCATTGACTATGTTATATATTATGCAACAAAAGACTTTCTACTTCTGAGGTACTTGTGACTCAAACTCCATCTGAAGCTTGAGAAGGTTTTTGTGAATCGGCATGTTAATTCCATCAAATTTACTTCAATGGTGGATTCGCCTTTGAAAAGTAAACCCAACTTCCCGAACTTCTCAAATGCCCCCATCCTGAGGTTGTGATTAGACAGCTAGCTTGGCCACTGAGAGGAATAGGGCTGATCATAGTTATGAAAAGCCGATTTGAGGAGAATTGAAGTCAGTAGTTGCAGTCAAAGGTAGGTTCAGGAATCAGATGGACCATGTACAGGAAAATGCCAATTCAAATGCCAGAGACAGGGAAGGGGTCCAAGGCAAAGGGCTATGTCAGTCAGGATAGGCTACATCACTACATTATGTTACAGGAAGAAACAACTCCCAAATGTCAGTGGCTTAAGACAACCAGAGTTTATTTCTTGCTCCTCACATTACATAACTGGCATCAGCTGTCAAAGGATTGCTCCATGCAGTCACTGAGGCACACAGGCCAGTGGCTGCTTTGCCATCCGATCGCTGCACCCTCTGGATGGAACATGTGGCCTGTTGATTTACTGCACCTGGAGAAGAGAGGCTGGTAGGTGTGGCTTTTCACTGCCTCAGCCAATTAAAGAAACTTGCCATTTCCTCTTACGTTTCATTGGCCAGAACTAATCATATGGTTTACTAACTGCAAAGACTGCTGGGAAGTGTAGTCTTCCATATGCCCAGAAGGAGAGGAATGCCAGATATTAGTGAGTATAAGTAATGTCTACCAAAGGGATCTAGAATCAGGACTGCAAGAGAAAGGAGCGGACATGGTGGGACAGAGAGCCAGGGGTGTGTGCAGAGATTGCTGGAGGAGTTCACCACAGCCCCACACTTCTTTAGAGTTAGAGAGAATGGTAGGAGTGTCAACAGGTGTGGACAGAGTTCTTAGCAATTTTAGGGCACCTGGAAAATGTTAGCTTTTAAGGGACCTTCCTGTTATATAGTTTTGACATTCTACATATTTTACAACTTTATCTCCATCTAAATATCACCTTCACAACCCAATTCCCTGATAAAAGTATGTGAACTTTACTTATTACATCTCTCACCCTCTTCCCCATTAAAAGAGTGATTACTAAGGAATTTGATCGGTTATTAAAAAACTGATTATGTAAAGCTTCTACCTGCAGATTCTGCGTGAGACAGTCTCCTGTGGGACAAAAGATTAGGAACTGGAGAGATGCTGGTGACTTTGCATTTTTTTCATTAAGGTTCTAAACCCTCTTACTGCCTTCTCTCTCTCTCAGATGATCTTAACAAAAAGTTTTCAATGCACAAACCTTTCCATGTCTTTTATCTCCATCCAAGTCCTGAGTAAGATGTTAAATGACACCATTTCATCTAACTGCAAAATAAATTAACCAGCTACCATTTCCCTATCAGAAAAGAATGTTCCCTTTATTTGAATTTAATTTTGTTGTTTGTAAAACAGGGACAATAAAACCTGTCTCACGGAATTGTTGTGGGAATTAATGAGATGGTAGTGAGCGAGAATGACAGTGAGAGTTCCGGACTGTTTAGATTCAAATAAATTTTCTGTGATAGGGCTGCTTTCCCTCATTATCCAAAACTCAGAAACGAAATAGATGTAGATACTTTAGCAAGGGGTACTGATACATGCAAAGCACTTGGCATTGTTCCTGGCACACGTCTTCCATAATATCAGTATTAGGACAATTCTTACTATTATGATTACTTCTGCTTCTAATACCATCACTTTTCCTACAGCTATGATGGGATTTTTTTTAACCAAATGCTGCTTATAAATATAGATTTTTCTCTCCAGGGATTCTTTCTGCCAGAATATAAGAATATATTGTATTTTCTAGTCCTAAGACATTGCTTGACTTTGCTTCCTCTTTTTACCTCTTTGCTTTTCTCTTTTTGCCGTAGTTTCTGGGAATGACAACTGTGCTAGCAGACCTGGATTTTAGTCCTGCTTCTTTATTGACATCTAAGCTTTCACAAGGTATAGTTACTTTGATTTTCTTTTATGAATTGCAGTGCCGGTGGCAGATATCAAAGCTGTGGTGACGGGAAAGGACTGCCCTCATATGAAGGAGAAAGGTGCCCTTAAACAAAACAAGGTATGATTTCCAAATTATTGCAAATAGTTCTTTCTGCACAATGCGGTCAGCAGTGAGCAGAGCCCTTCCTTCTTTAGTAGCAATGCTTTTTGGGGGGGAACGGGGGGTGTGTATGTGTGTGTGTGTGTGTGTGTGTGTTTATACATTTCTTCTTTTTTTTCTTTTTTTTTTATTTATTGAGGAATTGGGGAAGGGGAACAGCCAAATTGTTGTCCTTCAATCTTAGTTGTGGAGGGCGCAGCTAGCTCAGCTTCAAGTCCAGTCTCCATCTGTCTACCCTTCGGCAGCTCGTGGCCGCTCAGCTCAAGGTGCTGTGTTCAATCTTAGTTGCGGGTGAGCGTAGCCCACCATCCTGTGCTAGAGTTGAACCGGCAACCTTTGTTGTTAGAAGCACGTGCTCTAACCACTGAGCAATCCTGGCACCTGTTGGCAGCTCAGCAGCTTGGACACAGCTTGGACAGCAGCTCACTGGCCCATGTGGGAGTCAAACCAGTGACCCTGTTGCTCAGAGCTTGCGCTGTTAACCAACTCAGCCACTCGGCCGGCCCTATACATTTCTTACTCAGCTCTCCGTTTCCTGTCCTGATTCCTTTTACATCTCTCAGCTTTGTTTTCCTCTCACTGATCACTTGTCAAATCCCCACCTTCTGTTCCCTTACTTCCTGTCTATTTCCCACCGCAGGAATTGCCCTCTCACTATTATCACCTAGTGTTCTCTTGGGCCTTCTCTGCTCACTCCCATCCATTTTCTGTGAACGTGTTGTTTAGGAAGACAACGGGGAGCAGATACAGCCAAGGAGGCTGATATGATAGCAACATCTTTGCTTCCTAAGTTACAAGTCCATGTGAATTCCATCTTTATCAAGCCTGTCATATAATGTATTTAATTTACAAGCATAATGACATAAGGGCATGCCTAAGAGTCTGTGGGTCATCTGTCCCATAGCATTTCTATTTTCTCCACGATGTGTGGGGAAATAAGAATTCTACAGTTCATCAGATTTCAGAGGAGCGTCCTTAACTATAGCAGCCAGTCACCAGCCTTCATGGTTTGCCTCCTGTGGGGCTGCCTTCCTTCAACACCACCTGATATGCAGAGCACACCTGGAGAGCATGGGCTCTGCTCAACTCCAGCTAAGGTCCCTGTGGTTATATAACACTTGGAGCTGAGCAGGAAATGATGTGTGGAAATTGGCAGCAACAAGAGTCTATAACTGAGAGAAGTCCAGGCGGGGTGTAGTTAGGCAGCAAAGCAGCCTGCCCAGGACGCAAGCACTCTGAGTAGAGACACTGAGAATTATGAAAAACAGGTGTGGAGGGATTTCCGGTTTCAGGCCACACATGTAAAGAGCTTTGGCGTTGTCATTCCCATCCTTACAGTGAGAAGAAACTGAGTAAAGTGAAAATCAACAATTTTCTTGGACTAGCCAGAAAACTGAGGTCACAGGGCAAACCGCCACTCTGGAATCTGGAGTCAGGTACTTCCAGAGAGTCACAGCCAGATCGGCTCACCTAGAACAGAATCCACTGGAGCCATGAACTGTAGGATCACTTAAATGGGAATTTTGATAAATTGCTCTAGGCTGAGTGTGGGCTAGTGTGAGAGTGAGAAACTCTTGGGAGTTGCCCGTCTTGGGGGCATTCTTCATGGGCTTTATCTCTAGTAATCCTAACAGATTCTCACAGTGATTCTCACATTGGCTCTAGCAAGGGAAAGGGACCAGTAATCATGAAATATGCCATAGCCTTCTCCGTAACAAAGTCCTGTTCTCCAGATCTTTTTTCCCGGCTAGGGGAAGGGAATTTCTCCCAATTCATCTCATTTTTAGCCTTCCTGTCTCAACTGTGGGGTTGGGGGCAGGGGAGACATAATCAATCGCAGTCAGAGCCTCAAGGAAATTCATAGGAAACTTTGCATCCAGGGAAAAGGGGAGGGGCCAAGGGGGAAAAGCTGTACCACTGGAGAAACATTTGAGAAAGTGTCAGCCACAAGGCATGGGACCCCTAAAAGATGGAGATTTAATTGGAAAACTATAGAATGCTATCCCTCACCCATATCCTACCACCACACCAACAATACGCCAAAATGATAATGGGGAATTATAGCAGAAAGATTTGTAAGACACAAACTCTCTCTGAGGAGGAGCACGCAGAGTCAGTAGAAGAGACAAAAACAGGGACACTAGAGGAATTTGAAGCCTCTGGCAGCCCCATCAAACATTAAACATATCCCTGTTTCTTGTCAGATTAAAATAAATTATTACTCTGAAGGTCTATGTATCTTTCGATTACGTGGTACAACATGTCTGGATTTCAACAAAAAATTATAGGCATGCCAAAAAGCAAGAAAAACAAATCAATGATCAGAACCAGACTCCAATATGACACAGGAAATGTTCACCAATATAGACCACATTCTGGGCCATAAAATACATCTTAACACATTTAAAAGAATAGAAATCATATAAAGTATGTTCTCAGATCACAGTGGAACTTAGTTAAACTAGAAATCAATTACAGAAAGATAGCTACAAAATCCTTTCAAATATTTGGAAATTTAAGAACCTGTAGTTCAAAAAGAAGCCTCAAGGGAAATTACAAAATGTTTTAAACTGATTAGAATAAAAAATATGACTTATCAAAATGTGTGGAATGGGGCAAAAGCCTTCTGAGAGGGAAATGTATAGCATCAAATGCATATATTAGAAAAGAAGAAAAATCTAAAATAAATAAAGTTTCCACCTTAGGAAACTAGAAAAAGAGGAACAATTTAAGCCTAAAGTAAGAAAAAAAAAGGAAAAAGGAAACAACAAATAGTAGAGTACAAATCACTGAAAGTTTTGAAAAGGAAAACAGACAAAAATCAACAAAACCAAAACTTGGAAAAGATGGATAAAACTGATAAACTTCTAGCCTGACTAGCTCAGAAAAAAATGAGAGAAGACACAAGTTACCAATGTCAAAACAGGTGTGAAGGTGATGATCTCTTCTGAGAACATGATAGGTGTGGGTGACTTTGGCCTTTCTGTTCCAGACTCCTTTCCCCTTACAGGCGATCAACAAAAGGAACTGAGTGACATTGTCCAACCTTTTTTGGATTGTCACAGCACTAATAGGAAATCGGATGGATAGATAGATGATGAATGGACGGAAGATGGATGGATAAATGGAGGATGCTGCTATAAACGCATAGATAAGGTTTACAAATGGAGGCTACTTCCTGGGATTCAGTGACCCAGTTGTGCCATCTCTTCCAAACTTCCTTCAGGCTGAGAGAAGCAGTATCTCGACCAGCCTGGCTCTATCATTTGCATACACATGAAAATTGTTTTGTCTTCTAATGTTAATGGTGTTCATATGCCTGGTTCACCAGGCAAAACATCAAAAGGCAGAAAGGAAGCCCAAAGTCCTAAGACTTTGCTTCCTCAACCCCACACCCCCAGTACCCCAAACGCCTGCCCCTCCCTACCTCTGGGACTTCTGGGTAGGAAAGGGGAGCCCTGCAGCTTACAAGGAGAGTTGTCCGAGATGTGTCCTTCGGAGGTCAACCAGTGCACAGCAGTGGACAGCCACCAAGGCGAGCTGCTGGCTCTTGGGACAGTTTTTTCAGCTGGCGAGCAGGCTCTGACATTTTGTACCACAGGACCCTCGGTTAGCTGAAACGCTGAGCAAGGCAAACTGGGACATCAGTGTCCATGAGGGAGACATTTGTTAAGAGCAAAATAGTGCTAACTGGCGCTACTTCTCTGTCATTGGACATCTGATATGCCAGGCACTGTCTAAGGCACTGAAAATCAAAAAAAGAAAAAAACCTGATCCTATTCTTTGAGGCAGAGGCATTTGTTTAGGCATTCGCTCAGTCAACAAAGGAACAACTGAGATGAGATGAGCTCTGGGCACAGGGTGGTGAACAGGGCAGACATGGCCCTGTCCGCCAGGAGCTTAGAGTCCAGTGTGTTTAACAGATGGCAGTGCGACAGGCAAATTTCTGTGGAGACAAAGGCACCGGCTTCTTCACAGAGAGATGAGGAAATTTCTCGGTGAGACTTGAAATGAATTGTCATGGGTGAGTGGAAATTCAACTGGAAGAATTTGATGTTTAAGGATTAAGGATTCTAAAACAATGTGGATTTGTTGCCGTGTTTTTGAAAGCGGGCATTCCTGGTGCTTATCCCACTGAATTTGAGGCTTGTAGTTCAACAGTCAACATGTCATCTCCAGAGGGAAGGGCTGACCCCTCGCACTGATTCAGGCAGCGATATATGTGATGTTAGAGAAACTTCCATCTCACCCTGCCCCAGGATCCAGCTTTCATTTTCCTAGTGTGATTCCTGAACCTGAAATAAGAAGAGAGTATACTAGAAGATGATGTCTTGGCATCAGCCTGAAAACCCTGGTCTGCACCAAAAAGCCTTTTCTGCAGCCTCACTTCATTTATCTTTCATTCAGCAACTGTACTGAGCGTCTTCGTTATGCCAGGCCTGTGCCAGGTGCCAGGAATCCACAGACAAATACCACCTGGCCCCTGGCCCTGAGTGTCTGGTAGATATAAGATTTACATATCAACATGCTATTACAATCCAGTGATGTCTGCGCCTCAGAAAACTTAACCCCAGAGAGAGTCTGGGAGACTTGGAAAAGGCTCACGGAGAAAATGTTGTCTGAACCGGGTTTTGAAAAGGAGTCGACCAGCTGGAGAAGCAAGAGAAACTTTTAGGAGGAGGAAAGAGTATGTGAAAAGTCTCCTTCATATGGAAGAGCATCCTCTGATTGAGAAACATTGAATTCAGAGTATAGGATTGATGGGTACAGAGAGGAGAAAACGGGCTGGAGCACGATAGGCTGAAAACGCTAAGATAGATTGTGGCCAGAAAGTTATAGCTGGTGAGGAAGGCAATGGCCTCTCGCAGTAGGTACTAGACGCATGAGTGAATTTTGCCTTCTGAAATAGGAACTCGAATTCATAGGTACGAGATGACGAGCGATGCACTATAGCTATGAAATCTACTACTATTTCTAAGGCCATACAGCACACACACAGAAGCCAAGTGCTAGCCTGTCTTTAATCAAAATGCTTTGCCCTAAGATGACCCACGTAGATGGTGGAGAGCCAACATAGTTAAAGAGGATGCTGGCCAAAATGGCTAAATGAGACGTCACCCCAAATAAAATATAAGAAGTGGCAGCCAACACTGTGTAGTGAAAACGTGTTGTATAAACTTCTACTCTTGTGTTTTTCCAGTCCATGATTTGGCCCCTGGAAGATCACAGTTCCCAAACCAGGGTGCCTTTCATGCCCAGAATTTCTCTCAGCCTCCCCTGACCCAGTGTGCCTTGTCACTGGTCCCCAGCCAATGGGCAGAGTCTGGGGCGCGAGGCCCCAGGGCAAGGGCGTGTCAGCAGTTCCTCCTGCCTCCTCTCTCCCAGATCTCACCCACCCTGGGCCTCCCTGCGCGTGGTGAGGTGGGAGATGTGAATTAGTGGAACAGAGGGTGGACATAAGCTGCTCCTGGACCTAATTTTCCACCCAGAGTTAAACCCGGAGGGAATAAAAGACCTTAGGTAGTGACTACCACAAGCCCCGGAGCACCAGATGTCTGAGTGAGTGCTGTGGTGTGTGACAAGCAGCCCCTGATGGGGACACTGCCCCAGATCCATGACTCTTCCTCCCCCAGCTCCTGGCACCTCCCTCCGTCACAGACAGTTTGGACAGGTGGCAGCTTCTGAGGTGTTAGCCCCAGGTCTGCAGCCTCCCAGCCCCACGTGAAGAGCTGACCTCCACTGCCGACTCAATGACAAGCCAGAGACGTGCATGAAGTTCATTAGAAGTGACAGTGACCTTTAGCACAGGCTCGTGGGCCAGAGAATGAATTCCTCCCTCCCCTCCCCGGCAGCTTTGGTGAAATTAAAGTGGGGATTGACATTCTCACGAATTTCCCATTTCCTGCCCGTGTTTATCGGAAATCTAGGTCAGGACAGCTCCCCTCATTCATGCCTTCACTGGTGTATGCCTTAGAAGGACAAAGCCCCAGATCTGCAGGCCCCCCCCCCTCTTTCCTCTCTGTGCTGTGCCGGCAGGAGAGAAAATGTCACAAGGACAATCACGCTGGCACTCTGGTCTCGAGTGACTTCAGCACCTACTCAAGGGCTCTGGTGGTGTTCACAACGCTGTCATTAGCAAGGGGATGGTTAGTGATGTGACGGCCCCTAAGCAAAGCAGCAGCTGTGATCCAGTGTCAGCCCAGAACTTCTGTGAATTTCGCTTTTTCCTCTTGCCCTCCGAGGGTCACCTGGTGCTGCTGTGATATTGTCACTGGTTGTTCAAAATCAAAGCCCCGTCCTCTCCTTTCTCTCCAGCCTGTCAAGCATGAGTCAGCGTTTTCCTAATGAAGGCTAGTGAGGTCAATAAAGAAATCATCAGTTATATCAAGGTTCCTAATCTAAGAACAATTTTTATGAATATATGAGATAAAAGCTTAATATTGTATTGAAAAAAAGTAAGTTTTTTGAAAGAAGAAAACAGTCACCCATGATTCCAGAACCTTATCATTTTTTCAGTTCACATTTCACATCCAAACCCTGTCCACAGGTAGACGTTGTTCATAATTGTGATCAAATGTAAATAACGTTCATTTCTTTTGCTTTTTTTGTCCACTTAAGCACAGATCTTCATAATTATCATATTAATAGCTGGCTGAATATGTTTTTCTTATTTGTTAATTTGTGATTTTTTAATGGTGTATCCAAAGAAGAAAGGACATCTATTTAGTTTCACTTATTGTATTCTTACAGATAATAATGCACATAGCTCTTGCTTGCCTTTGAATTGTTTTAGGAACAACTCCAGGAATGGAATCCCTTGTTCTTGATATGAACTGCCTTACTGGTTTTCTTTTTCTTTTTTTTTTTTT